GTACTCATTATCACAATGGACGTTTACTTGCAATAAAAATTTATTGCGATATGGCATACTGACTTGTGTTTGGATAAAGTAATGTGTGGAACGAGTAATATTGTCAAATATCGACTAATATTGAGATAATTGGTATAGGAACCTACCTGTTTTTTTATTTTGTGGATTTTGAATAATATGTTATTTTTTTAAAATTATTATACAGTGCTTTATATGGAAATTTTGGTGAAACTATCTATAATTTATATGCAAGTACACAAACTTATTTGAGTAACGATATCATCCAAAAATGTATTTAAGCTAAGCAGGAACCGGGATAATCACATGTAAAAATTGGTATGCGTTCGAATCGGTTATAATAAAATTTGCCCTCTTAGTTTACACGGCTGTCTAACTTCAGATTTACTCATAAGCTATATCAATTATGATTTTTTTATATATCTAAAGGAAAAACAAAATAATGTATGCAAAGGGAAAATTTAATCAATAACAACCCTGGTTCGTAATAATTATAAAAGTACCAAAACTATTAAAATTCAAATTTATAGAATCGGTACGAATTGAATGCCTTCGAATCGATAGGACCGCGATAGGTAAGATTCAATAGACTTTTCTACTTCAAAATATGACCTGTCCGACGTGGCTTTTTCCATTTACTCTTACCTTTATTTACATCCCAAAATCGGGCGTGGTATTTCAACTACAAATTTTTCAACACTATTCTGTGATTTTATTTTATTTTTCTTATCACTCGGGAAGAAATGATGAGCGCCTCGTGATAACACTATTAAAATTAACGATAATTATTATCAATTAATATTACAAATAAAAATAATAATAAAAAAAAAAAAAATAGATACATATAAACAATATTAAATCCATTAAAGAGCAGCTGCTCTTGCTGCTAATGAAATTTCAAAATTGTTTATACAACCTGCAGCGGTAGGTTTAATAACAACAATAATAATAATAATAATAATATAGACGATATTTTGTCAACATTGTACCTTTATAACGATGACGTAAGCTGAACGTAAAGCTTGCACCGACACATTAAATACCATCTTATACAATACAATGCTCCCCTTTTCGGGCCAAATATATTCTAATCTTTGAGTAACTTACAGAGCTTAGACGGTGTAAAATATTATTACTATTATTAATATTATTATAATCGTTGAAGGTCTCAGGGCTTGGTTCTGATAAACACGCAGTTTTCCACCTCCCGGGTCAACCCAAAATAATATTCCCGAATAATAGTTCACCGTTAAGTTAGGTTACGTTTGATAATAACCACGTGGAAATCCGGAGCCTTTAAAACGTCGTAATATAATAACGATAACGATCAGAACTCAGGTTGATTCGTTTACGACGAAGATATAGTGTCAGAATGTTCTTAGTTTAAGATCAAGTTAGAAACGAATTTTGAAAAGAAAAAATATATATGTATATATATTTCTATAAAATGATCCCAAATTTAAAATAAATAGTTAAATGTCATTTTATTCAAAAATAACCTAGTAAACCTAGCAGTGAGACAACTAGCTGTATCTTGTAAACTAAATTAAATCCATCTCGTCCTGTATGGTAAATCTAAGGCAACCAGCCTGAGTTCAACTAAATATAAAGCAAACATTTCACAGTGCCAGATGTGTAAGCAGGTATATAAGCACTAGTAGAGAAATAAAAAAATTGTTAAATCTGACTTCAGAACTTTGTCATCCCCTCCTCTTTTCCCTATCCCAATACATGTGAACCTTTATAAATTCATTACTATGAAAACCGGTAACTATTTTTCCTTCAAATTGAAAGTGGTGACAACAAAATGAAAATCACTTCGTCACATCGCTGTTACAAATCGGTCATAAAATTGAACATTTCAAAATATAGACGACATCAAGTAGTGGTAATAAGTTATTACCTATAGTTTTTATTTTGTCGTTATTACTAATAATAATTATATTATTATATATACTTACACCGCACATTGATACATGAACAAAATACGAACACTTCCTTTTTGTTACATTAGAAATATATTATAATGTATAAATGTAGGTACGATCTATATTCTATACTACGAGATGGCAAGTAATTTTTATTGATGTCCAAAATATAAAAATAATGATCAAACGAGGTCCAGAGTGGTAAACTTGTGGTAAACTTTCAGTTAAACCAGTTGATTTGAGATATACCCAAAGTACGTGAATATTTTCTTTATGAAATTCGGTTGATGAATACACAACAGTTAGTTCACTTTTTAGTATAAAAAAAATCAAAATGTTCACCATATGAATCATTCATAAAGTTCATAAAACTTATTGGAAACTGATTATCAAACTGGTTAAATTTTGAAAAATCAAATAATGAAAACAATTTTAATTTGGATATTTCGGAAAATCTTTCATTAGTTTTGGATATGAGTACATCAATGATTTTTAAAAATAGCCTTCAATAGTTGTTTTTTTTGTCTATATAAAGAATTGTTGCTCGAGGTAAAATATTACCAAATATTAAAAGAAAAAAATTGAAATCAAAATATTGAATTGTTTGAAAAAACCCTCTAGCACATGATAATTTTTTACTTTCCTACTTTTCACCATTTTCACCATAATTGAGGCTATAAAGTTTAATACTTCTTGTCTATACTCAGACATCATTTTGGCCTACTGTTATAATTCCATCGAGTTGGAGCGATTGATGGAAATCGTTTTTTTTTTTACTTCTTGTTCGAGTGCATAAATTCTTTTTGTAGATTTTGAAAAAAAAGATGAAAGTCCAGAAAGTGTGAGAAAAAATATTTTGCATTCTTTTATATGATTTAAAAGATTATTATAATATTAAATTAAGTTTGTGTGCATAACAATGTACAAACATTGTATTTTTGCATTTTGATCGAATTAGTGCCTGCAAGTCATTGTGTATCCCTGACATGACGGCTGCTTCTTCATAAGTTTATGCTGTTAATATATTTTCACATTTTTGCTGTTGTAAAATATTAAATGTATGCCCGGATACGCATTTAGCAGGTCAATCTTGACTAATATCTACAAATCCCAAAAATCTTTCCTATACTCCTTCTTATATCATATATCGCAAAATTATTTATAGCTGAGATTCGGATACAACGTCTGTGGTCTTAACCATTATATTATAGAAACAAAATCAACATTTTGCAATTCTAATGAATTTGTTTATATATATATTCTCCCGAGAGACCAGAAAAAACAGTGATAGTCAAAAGATGCCAACTTAGTTTAAGAGCAAATGTTCCCAACAAATTAACCAACTCTACGTAATTACCCCGATTCGTGAAAATTATTTGTTCATCGTGTCCATGAAACGGAAATTCTTGTTCGGCCAAATAACATGTTACATCAATTAACCTACTTGCAACATAACGACTATTTTTTATTGTATATTTCAATTTTTTTTTTATAAGTTTCACTAAGACATGTTTCGATTCTAACAGTATCAAATTTCTTTAAATTAATTAAACATTCAATATGAAAACGATTTGTTTTATGACGATATTTTAAATTATTATAATTATTTAAATCAACACAACTAGATAACTATTTATTTGACTCACAATAGGATGAATTGAAACATCGAAACGTTTTTTTGATTTTAGATTTTAAATTATGAAGTTTTGGAGTAGGCGTTTCTTTATTTATAATATTATTTTTTTTTACTGAAAATGAGTTAGATCCAAAAGATTTGTGTAGCATAATAGTTATTATCATTTAATTGTAAATCTGAAGTACTCACTAACGAATCCATGTTATAAAATTAAGAACACGAGGAACCGATGTGGTAATTAGACAATAATATTATATATTATATACGAACGTCGAAAAAAGAACTAAATTATATTAATTATTGTACCATCACGTCGGCGTAATGCGTATACGTTTAATATAGCTTAATACGTGACTCCCTCCATGACACTAGCCCATGTAGAAACAACGGCCGTACGTAAGCAATTTCAGAACATACCACACGAAGCCCTATATAGGTACAATGAGCTGATAACACAATAAATAAAAAATACACTGTCTCTTCATGGGAACTAATAGTAGATAATCGGCGGGTAACGTGGCGACTCTAAAGAAAAGATACCGAAAACCACCAAGATTTCTAATATATTTTAATAAATAAAAATGTAATTTTGAAAATCATTTATAATGTATTGTATTAATCTTGAAAGATCAATTTTCTCTTTTACTTTGGCTTTTAAGTGTAAGCAGTGCTTACAGTGCTTACGTGCACGCTACGCCACTGATAAGTTGATTGTAAGTCATTTAAAGTAACAATTCCTGTCTGATAAGACATTTATTATAAATGTTATGATACGTGCATCATCCGAGTTTGACATAAATTATTATTTAACTAATTAGTAATTATTATAAAAATCAATTATAAATTAAAATAATTTTTTAATGTAGGTAGATAATATTTTTACGGACCAATATTCTACCTTCTGCGGTCAGTATTTGGACCGCAGTCCACCAGTTACCGACCACTGTTCGGTCGAACGTTTAAAATATAAATTAATTGAAATTGATTTTGTTAGGTTTTTTTTATTACTGGTACTTGATCAAAATACTGTAACGCTACCTGTTGTTAGAGGTGACAAATATAGAAAGAGTCCTAAAAAAGACTTAGGCGAATTGTCTCATCTCGAGTTTATGTGGGAACATAAAAAGAGAAGCGGATGTTAACATTGTGTGGTTCGATAAGTGAGGATAAGATTGTCAGATATTTTATGTGACTAGATAGAATAATACCAGTGAGACTTAAAGGTAAGTTCTAAAAAAGTGTATTGTGACCAACTATGTTATATAGCTTGGAGTATTAGGTGGTAGATAGAAAAATAGAAAAGATGTGAGTGTATTAAAGATAATATTTCTTAGATGGATGATTGGAGAGGCGAAAGAAGATAAGATAAGGAATGAGTACACAAAAGGTAACATAGGCGTAGTTTTGATTGTAAATAAATGAAAGAAGATCGACTGAGATGGTTAAGACACGCCACGAGGAGAGAAGAATCTAAAGCAATAATAATGGTAATGCCAGTAAATGTAGGAGAAAAGAGAGGAAGAGGAAGACCGAAAAAGAGGAGATTGGATTCTGTTGGGAATGATATGAGGACATTTAAGGACAGATTATATATACGAGGTGGAAAATCGGATCAAGTAGAAGTTTAGGACGAGGGTGGTTGACCCCCAAATAGGTAGAATGAAAGTGAAGGAAAAGAAGAACATTCGTTTTGTTTGGTTTACAGGTGAGTAGAAATAATAACAATACGTTGTACTCGGACCGTAAAAACACATTGTTAGTAGAAAAAAAAAAAAAAGGAAAAAGAAAAAAAATAAATCGTATTGATCTGACCAGACGGCGACGGAATAAGTGAAATCGGTTTCAATGATGCGTCAGCGGAGGTCGGTGGTGCAGGTCGGTACAGGTGCACACACCCGCAGCTGGTAAATTCAAGTCCGAGACACGTGAACTTTGTGCAGATTTAAATACCAGTACGACAATAGCGTTTTTGATAACATTTGCTATCGAACACAATATTATAGTTGAAAGGGTTTTTATTTATTTATTATTTTCAACCGCCACCATATTTATACGCTCGCGATAATATATTCTCTTTACTAGTCGAAAACCGTTTTGAGAGTGTTATTTTTGTGCACAAATAATCATTTACACTGTTTTGCAATTTTATGCCTGTACTTTCTTGGCCGACCGAGTAAATAACGTTTAAATTTAGATTGAATTTTTATTTTTTATATTTTTCATTAACTAATAAGCTTATTTCCAGTAAATCCGATATCAATTATTTATATTATATATTTATATTTATAATCGCTTGAGGATGTTATTTACATACACCGTTCAGCCCTTAATAAATACCGGCTAAACAATTAAAAAAAAAAAAGTCAGTATCTATATTACCTATACACTTTACTATTAGGTTATCTAACATCAAAATTATTTATACTTTGTTTGTTAATATAGTGTTAAATGAAAGAATATAAATCACGGGCGCCCATAACTCAGAAATCAAAAATTCATGTATAAATCGTTGTTCGCTATTTTTAAGACATTTTTTTTTTTTTTGGAAAACTAGAGAATTTGTTTAAATAAAATATCACCGAGCGAAAAGCACTTATTTTTAAGGTATGATTTGAATAATAATTGAAATAATTTTATCAACTAAATACAATTTTTGCCGAGAAAAAAAACACAATTTTGTAAAGCTATGTAGCTTCATCCCCATACTGAGAGTCTAAAATCACTAAATTTCTACCATGTTGTGCTCGTAGTACCGGAGCCGAAGTCTAGAAAATATCGATACCGTTTTATAGTTTGGGTTTTCACCAACAGAATTATATAATATATATTTTTTTACATGATTTATATGGTAAAAAGACAAGCAGTTCGTGTGGAAATTATTGTAATGCACCTGTATTATGATGTAGTGGATTCGATATGATTGATGCGGGGTAGACTAAAATATTATTATAATTTATATGTATATAGTTAGATAATTACTATAATGAATATAATATCTGTATAATATGCGTATGATAGTATTATGACGTACCTATACCACGCGTTTTTAGTAATATTTTTTTTATTCTAACGCAAAACGAATTAAAAAAAAAAAAAAGTTAAAAGAAATATTGTTCGCATGTTTGCACGCAACTATAACCTGCTACTTAACTGCAGCAATAATTATCTACCGTCGTAGTACCTATCGATTTTTTATCTGGTTTTATTTTTCAGCTTTTTGCGATTGAAATAAAACAAGAGGTTGGGTTTTTTTTTTATAGTTATTAATATTATAATGTAGCTTTATTCTCGTAAGTTCTTTTATTTTCCTTTATTTATTTTCTTTCATGTTAATACGTCTCCATTTATTTTATCTTTTCTGAATTGAATACGTTTCCATAACTATCGTTTTTCCTTCATCCTATCAAATATCTTTTCGTTAGTAACCGTTTCGATTTAGGAGATCTGAGGTTAGGGTTTACATTCATGATAATATATTGTATAATAAAGGTTGGCTAAACTTGCATAAAGTAGATAACAGCTAGCTTATTTGTTTTGATTATGGTTAAGTAAACCTGTTTTTTTTTTCCAAGTATACCCGACAGCAAAAAGGGGTCTGTTTAACACAATGTTTTACTCATCGCTGTTCATGGTGCCATTTCGTAGCCGATGACGTAAGTGCTAGATGGCCTGGACGATCATGCGATGTGTAAGGTGGTGAGCCGCCACGCCGTCGGCCTCCTTGATTCTCTCGTTCTGCTTTTTGCGGCACAGAATGTCCTCCACCGTGAAATAGAAAGACTGAGTGCCACGAGGAGAAACAGCCGAGTGTTGGTCATTTCTGACGCGATTTTGGTCCCACCACGGAACCAAGAGAAGAGAAGAAAAGGTCCTGAAACATCACCAGGAACTGGCGTTCCGTGAAGATACGATTCTCTAAATTAATTATTGTTATGTTTTTGTTTGTTTTTGAAACCAAGATTCAGTATCACACAAATTATGAATAATTTATTACTTTTCTAAAAAGGACATTTTTCGATAAACCTTTTTAGGAAGTATGGTTTGTTAACGGTTATTATTTAAGTATTTATAGATTTTATAAACTAAAAATAATAACAATAAAATAACGCATACCCATACTAATATTAAGTTATATCTGTGCAGATTTTTACGATTTTCTTAAAAATAGATTTTTTTTTATTTTACATTTGCGAAAAACTGTGTGTATTCATATCGTAAATCTGTATCGTATAATTAATTATTTCCAAAAGATTAAATTTAAAAAAAAAAATTCCAGTTAGCATTATCAACCATTTAATTAAATCTTTATAACCAGAAATGAAAAACATACACATCACTGAACATCCCATCTTATTTCCTATAATTTAAAATGTATGAGAAAAAATAAGGACTCGACAATTTAATTTGTAAGGTAAAAACAAAAAATTGTAAAACAACGAGGTTTAAAGAAAAATTATTATGCCTATAGGTATATAGTATACGTATATTACATTATACCCCATTAAAACAACTAATATTATAAACCGAAACATAAAAGCCGCTGTGACAACATCAAACATTATAATTCTTTAATAACAAATAGTATTATTTTGAAAATTGTGCACTCTATACATGAGTAATTATGAATTTTTTAAATAATCAGATAATCACTAGTGTTTATAAAGTAAAATGAAAATATTCAATTTCAGTTTTTCTCATAGATATATTTTATTTAAATTAGATAGTTAGCGACTATAAAAAAATTGGAATAAGCCTACAAGGACAAATATATTGTGATAAATGCATGCAATAATATGAAAATTATTTGACATTATTTCAATCAAGTTTACCTTATAGTTTCTACATTGAACTAAATATTTCTGTGATTACAATAAAAATTTAAATTGATTAAACCAGTTCAGTTCTGAATTATGAAAATACAAAAAAAAATGAATTAAATTAAATTTACATATGTGCTAATATGCTTGTTAATATAAAATTGTTCTATATTTTTTATCTTGTATGATTTATTCAATACCCATGCAAGATAGAAAAGTACTTAAAATATTCCGTTTATTCTAATTCATTTAAATCACCTACACCTAGTCACCTATAGGTAATCTCTTGTTTTTTATCATTTTCTTTAGGGGGAGGGGAGATATTTGATGAATAAAAATTTACAATGTCATTATAAAAATTCGGGTGGTTCAAACCGTGTTCATGTAAATAAAATTCAGTATTTTTATTAAATTATCGCTGATATACTATATTATTTTTGTTCACTCAGGGCTTCAATTCATTACTAGTTTCGTTTTACTCGTTAAACTCAAGTGTATGGGAAAAACAAAATTAACGATTGATTTCATTAACATTGAACCCCGATTTATACGTTCTTAAAATAAAATATTTACAATATATTTTTTCCAATTGAAAGATTTGTCGTTGTTAGGAACGAGGTCAACATCGCTGAACGTAGTGGTCGACTGAATAAAGAAAAATTCTAAGGTTTCGAAGGAAAACCTAACAGTTGTCATTTATTCACACCCTAGAATTTAATTCAACGAATTCGCTTTGTTCAAAATACAAATGCAGAATACGGCGCATTTAGGATTTTTCTACAGGGAATTCGTTGTACAAATTCATTATTTATAAATGAACGGTCTCCGCCGACACATAACTTTGAAAAATATGAATTATAGTTAACGCGGTTCAAATAATTATATAGAGGAAGCAGACTAAACACATTGATAAACAGTTTTTTTGAAAAATCCGCCCTGAAATTTTTAGTATACAATTTGTTTACAGTTAAAATAATACTACTTGTATCTTATATCATATGGCTATTTAAAATTTAAATCCTATCTTCATACCAGAATTTGATGGTCTTTTTTCTTAGCCTTGTTACATGGCATAGTATTGCTTCGCTGCCTACAATTCTGTGAGGTGCCCGAGAAGGCGGGATAGATATTACACTCTAAGATATGATGTTCGTCTATATATGTCCACAACAGCATATTTGGTCACACTTAGATATTCCACTTTACTCAATTTTTTTTAGTCCTGGACTGGTATCGTAACACCATTTAGGCTGTATAGCTACATGACGTGTTGGTCGTAAGCATCCAGTAATTATTCGCGCTATCTATAAGAATCACATCTACTTTATATAAATGTGCAGATTTTATCCGGCAACCATTATTATATTTCCTTGCCGAGAAACACAACTTAAGTCGGTATGTGCAAAGTGTCTGTTTGTGAATGCCGACAAATATAATTGTGCGAAAAACAACGGTCTGGGTAAATATTAAACAACGATAACCACGAATAACTTTGAATCGCATAAAACAAAATAGCGTAATATAGGAAAGTGTGTTTTATAATAAAAAAAATGTCAGTGTACGTTATTTTTGCAATACTAGAAAGAAATTGATTGAAGAAATTAGCCGTTTGATTTTCGTTCGATCGAACTCCGTCGTACCGTTTATCGTTGAACGGTACCCGAGTATAATCAAAAATGTAAATCACGAATTAGAAGGTATATATATATCAGGCGCGTCTCGTACACAGTTCCGTACAGATAGAATAATGATGGTAATAAACTTTGTAATTTTTTTTTTCTCGGATTTTTTTGTGCAATAGTAAGTTATTA